GGCGAGGTAGCGAAATTTCGTTATCGCATAAGCGACGTATAGCGGACAACTATATTCGCTGACCCTGGTTGTCGTTAACGCGTGCGGCTAGGAAGTTTCAGGAAACTTTTTTCGTGCCGGTTGACTTGGAGTCCGGAAAATTCCGAGATTTTCCGTACTGATTACGAGACCAGCATCGATCGTGGTTATCCGTCTCTCGTTATCTAGAAGCAGATTGTTTCCTCGAAGAACTCCTTCGATGAGTTTGTCACTGAAAACCCCCTTGTTGAAAATTTTGGCGACCTCTAGAATGCTTTCAGTGTATGTGGCCGGCTTGTCTACAGCAATGTTTTTTAAACGAAACAAGAAGTGTCTGCACTTGTTGATGAAGCTAAGACAATATAAGCTGTGAAAACAGGCCATCATCGGAAGTCCTTTGATCGGTTACCTACCTCATTCGTTTAGCACAGTGCACACACTCGTGATCTAGTGCGGATGCGTGACCGATCGTCTTCGGCTTGGTTATTCCATTAAAACTAATGTAGTCAGCCTCAAATATTGACGACTTATAGAGATATTGATTGTGGGGATTTGTTTACGCTACAATCATCTCAGTTACAACTTTGTCTAGCTTTTACTTATTGAGAGATGAACAGGTGGAGACATTCCGATGGTGGCACCATCTACAATTTGCTAATAAAGAAACCTAGACCATACCGTTCTCTGAAATAGGTGCACAATGGACTTAACTACAGGAGGCAGTGGTTGATTCTGGGACAATACTGCTACACCACTCTGCTGATAGGGCGTCACCTACGTCTTCTACATCAGCTGAACTAAAGTTTTCATCGTCATCGGTTGTTAACCCATACTTTTTCTCAAAACCGGATCCTAACTTCCTCAACCTCCTGTAAGCAGTGGATCTAGGGCAGCCCACCAAATTTGACACTCCGTTGGTGGTAACCTGTCTTTTATCCCTTTCATTACCTTCCGAATTTTAGTCTAAAAGTAACAATTAGATGTAGTAAGGCTGAGCAGAAGAGGTAACAGAAGTCGTGGACAGCACAGGCAACATGCCCGCGTGATGTAAGATCTTCGAAATATTGGTGGGAAACCTACGTTTCTTTGTCTCGTGTCTACTTGACATACTAAAACAAGACCTAAATGCCGAAAATATGATGTTGATGGAAGTTAATGATCATATACAAAAGTATTATTATTTGTAATTTCGTCTCAAAAGGTCTTGAAAAGTACACTGGCTATTAACTGTTTGTACGGACAAATGCCCCAACCAACTAACATAGGAGAAATAAAATTCGTTGGAGAATAAAGGGGAAATAAAAATGAAGCGCGCCAAAACGTCTGCATTTTCGCTTGTCCGAGGAAATTAATGTGTACTTTCTCTTTTTTGTCGATCTGTCTCTCTAATATCGCTAAATTGTCTTTTTTTCGCCAAAATATACGCCAAATTGTCTACTTTTCTCGTAAATATACACCGAATGGTCTACCTTTTGCCTACGGACACGCCGAATTGCCTACATTTTGCATAAGTATACGCAGAATTGTCTACTTTTCGCCTAAACAAACGCCGAATGGTTTACTTTCGCTCCAACTTTTAAAACACCATTAGCATAACCCCAAAGGTCTTCTATGTTCATCTTTATTACCACAACAAACCACACTAAAACTGCAGTTCACGGAGAAAATAGTATATGTTTAAATAAATCTACTGAAAAGAAAAAGCTTATTATCATACAACATTATAGCAGAAGCTTGAGCATCAACTGTTATGCATTTTCATTGCAATTACCAATTCACTTTTATTTGAAAAAATCTGCAAAAGAAAAAACAGGTGATGTATTATCAATAAGGCATGTGTAATTAATTGCAAGTTCACTGAAAATCAAACACAATTTCTCAACAATTAAATATTTTCCTATGTAAGTAAGAAATTAAGCTCATTTTCAAAATAATTTTTATTGAAAAATAAATTGAACATAAAAAACATTCCAAAGATTACTTCTTTTAGCCACGCCTGTCCGGTTATTGAGAATCAAAATAATGTTCTTGTGAATTCTGAAGTGTAAAGAAGAAAAGGAGTTACAATGATATCTGAATGACATGCTTTGGCACAGCCAGATACTTGAAGCTTCACTCATGATTATGTTCGTTAGCACTGTTGATCGTAACTACAGAGCAGTAGGGAAGTTATCACTTTAAGTTAGTGCATACCCGTTCTTGTTTCCTTCGATTACGCCTTATTAATTTGTCCCTACCGTTGTGAAAATAACCTTGTGTCGCGGAATCGCACAGTTTCGCAAGGTCTTATTCGTTGACAGATGATGACAAAAAGCCATTGGTTAATACCACTGAAGTTTAAATAATAGATATAGGTTACTTAGTATGCAGCCGTAACACCGACATTTCTGACTTGCTCGTTATGACGAAGTGCCTAGTAGCGTGAAATTACTGGCAACCTCAGGTGTCATGAGGTACGACGAAACATATCACATTGAGGTTTTAGGATCAATATCCATCAACCTCGTTAACATAGCCAACTGCAATACGAACAAATTATGAAATTAATGTTGTTGACTTACAAATCTCTCCCTGGTTTCTTTCTGCTGCAAACCAGTGTCCAAGATCTGCAGTTCCTCTTCAGATGAAAAAGGGGACTGCTAACTTAATAGTCCGCAAGTGAATTGATGGGTATGTTCGCGTTCACTGAACTTCGCTAGTAGCAGCTTTACATTTGTGCTCAAGTCGCTAATAGCTGACGGCATGTTCTGCATCATTGCATACAACCTATCTAATCTGAAAATCTTCACTTGGTCGTATGGGTGACTTACTGGGCCGCTGAAGCACATCCTACATTCTTAAATTCTAATGTTGAAGGTGATGTATCTAATCGTGTCTAACTACTTCATTAACATCTAAATAGCAACGAAACGTACTTGGCGATTGGCGAGGCGATTGCTAGCCAGATCATATCAGACCATTCTCGATATATTAATATCACATGAAATATATCTTCCAATCTCCTCGATTCTGTCTTTTGATTTCACTTGGTGGGTATGAGTGATATTAGGTGTTATTGGTTAAAGCGTTGTCAAACACTGAATACCTGTATCATCTTCAAAGTGAAATCAGAAGACAGAAGCAAGGAGGTTCAAATATATTTTTGATAGGCTATCAATATATCGAGGATCGTCTGATCTAATCTGGCTAGCAATTGCAGGGATTGTTGGGCGCGGCGTTCTCCCTCGTGATCTGTAGTGGATGCATGACCGAGTGCCTTCAGCTAGGTGAGTTCATTAAAACATGTGGTCAACATCCAATGTCGAAGACTTACAGAGCTATTTATTTTGAGGATTTATTTGTCGCTACAGTTTCTATGTTTGTTACTCACCGAATTCGTGAATGACATTACATTTCAGAACTGACCAATTGTCATATGGTCGAACACAGTTTTACAGGTGGACATCGACCAGCTGCGTTAGACAAAGGCTTGGTTGCTATCATAAGTTGTTTCTTGCTAGGAACGTCAACAATGACGTATTGTTTGCTATCAGGCTAAACATAAGAGGTAATGAAATGGTTTATGATAATGAATTAAGCACAAATGAAACAAAATACATTCACGCAAAAGCATGCAAAAACCGAACTATAACTAAATAATTGATAAAGATAATGGCTATACATTTACAGTCACTGTCCTTAACCGATATCCATGTGTGTTCATGGCTAACTAAGGAGCACATAAATATTCCTATATCACTGGATGGGAAAGGATCTTCGAAGTAATTCGTGGGTCAGTGAAAGACCTGAATTTTAGTAGTCCATCGACCTCTATATCAGTGACTAAATCAGGCTGTCCGTTTACTACTATAACATTATCAGGCTTAAATGAAGTTATTTTACTATTCTTCAACATAATTACTTGTTTAGTGGAGACCTCCTTAGCGGCTATTGGGGTAGTATTAGTGAAACAGCTAACTCGAAGCCTATCGCGGAAGGACATTTTCTCCACACAACGCTGAGCTGCTTGCTTTGCTAGATTATACCCGCTACACACAGGTTTTTTTATTTGTCTCATATAAGACTCGAATGGAAAGGCTGGAAAACTATCTAAAGTTCCGTGTGCACGAACATCGTCAGGAAGGTGCTGTAGCAAATGCACATTATAAATTGATTTTTCAGACCCATAACACTATTCATATTTTCTAAGAAAGTTTCCTAAATCTCTTCTGACGGATTCTACAATGATATTATGTAATTTAGTGTGCAAGCAGATAAATGGATGACGCCAAACGCCTGAAATAAAGATAAAAAGGTTGCGGCAATGTTTTTTGCTGAATAACTGGGCATAAATATAGAAGGAACAACCTAAATTTCGAAGCTTTCCAAACCGATACGAAGTTTAGTGTACGACATTTCTCTGAAAGTAGGAGGGAGTACTTACTACGCAACCAGAAATTAAATTATTTATTTCTCTAATTGCACATGAGTTCATGTTAAACAGTCTTTTATGTGAGAATTCTATCCAGAGACTACCTAGCATTTTGGTGTAGCGCGCGCTACACAGATTTTGGGCTTCTTCCCCGCAAATTTCCTCAAACGTTTCGGAAAATTCGAACCCGACAATTGGTAAGGGGTTTTTCCATAAAATTTCTCAAAACTTTTGGGATTACCCCGAAATAGGGAGATTGGGTATACCCATATTATTAACTATTTGAAATAAACACTCGTAAACCATGTCTTCTTTTATGTTGAATGATTTACAACAAATGATTAAACGCATATGCGTTTCAGTTGATACTGTATACAGCATGTATGCATTTGTCTAACTATATATATATATATATATATATATATATATATATATATATTACTGAGTCATTAGCTCACTTCACTTTTTTTTATCTTACAGATTGTTTAATATACTTTTATCTGCGTACTCTCTCACCACACGACGTTTCACGTGGTTAAACGCAATCCTACACGTCTGCAGATATTTTAAGATGTTTGATCGTTTCACAAGTTTGTCAAGCCTGATAATCTTCTTGGGTAGTTTGGAAGTAAGTAATTCTATTTGTGCACTGGCTATTTGCGGAAATGTATTGTGCTGTAAAGAGAACAGTAATTCTTTTGAAAGTACAAGATGTACGTTTTTCAAAATCATTGTGCATTCACAATCAAGTTCACTTAACTGAAGAATGTGTTTTTATTGATGAATTCACTTAGTAGTTCGTCAGGTTGTCCAATACTTTTGACAGTTTTGGGATAAATGCTAAATGTCTACAGCAGCTCGGGGTCCTTTTGCCTTTTTGCTTAGAAATCAGAGAGGGTATCCCTTTATCGCCCGTCGGACATCATTGAACTTTATTATTATTTTCAACTCAATCATTTTCTCGCAACTAATTTAGATGTTTTCGATAGGTTACTGGTACCAATTTTACACAGTTTCTTAGCTTGAGAAGGTTAAGTATTTTGTCGTCCCAGGTGATTTAGAGGACACCTTGTCAATATGAAATGAGTAGTCCGGGGAAATACGTATTTTAGTACAATCACTTAATTTTCGTTCTGTGATTAATGAGTTCATCATAGTCATTTCATAAATGATAGATATAAAGCACACCATCGATGTCATTTGCTTTTTAGTGTCTTAGAGTTAAACCAGTAGATCTTCGAATAGACTATTAGAAGTCAATTAGTTAACAACTAAATGTCGCAACCAAGCATAGATAAGAAAATATGAAAACATCTGAAGGCCTTTGTTTGTGATGCATTCACAGAAAAAGAATATATTCACTTGTTACCTATCTTGCTTTCGATGCTCACTTTTTTAGCAAAATGTTTATGATCAATCGAATACAGCATAACCTTCCGTATCCACTTACTTTTGTTTGTGTAATCATGTAACGTTTCTAGGAACCGTTACTATCTTGTAACAACTATTAGTTAAAATTCGCACAGCGATCGCCAGGTGTTGGATTTGATTCAGTATCCAAAGCATGCATGTATTTCACTACTTTTGCTTAATCGTTCGGTTCCAAACTATCATGATTATACTTAGCATAATGTGATAAAAATACACCAGTTATGTTTTGTCTTTTTTCCAGTTCATCCAAATTAAATGATCGGGCTTTGTTTCCTGAAGATTTCTGTGTAATCATTCATGTCATGCTATCGATTTAAGGTATTAATAATCTTCAACCAACTATGGACTTACATATTTTAAAATTGCTTTATTTGTTTTACTTTAATGGTTTATCTCATCAATCTGTGGTCTGTCAGTTTTTCTTTTAAAGCCCTATTTTAGTATTTATGTATTCATGAAGTAACTATGGTTACTGTAATTTGAAAACGTATTTTACAAATATTCTGGTATGTGCCGCCGTAATCCTAATTTTTTTTCATACTTTGTAGGCGTGCGGCAGAAGTCCAGCATCTGGTAAGATCTATGATTTTACGGTCACTGATATTGACGGTAATGAAGTTCAAATGAGAAAGTACCTGTAGGTGTTCTGTTAATTTCCGACTAATTTTGTTTACAGAAATGAAGTTTGCATAATCGTGAATGTTGCTACTGAGTGAGGCCTTGCAGGCACTAATTATCCTCAGCTTCAGAGACTATATACCCAATACTCTGAAAGCGGCCTCCGAATTTTAGCTTTTCCCTGTAATCAGTTTAGAGGACAGGTAACTTATGGTTGACATAACTGGTCTACCTTCAGGAACCCGGGACTGATCAAGAAATAAAACAGCGTGTGTTAGCGAAGTATAATGTGACATTCGATTTGTTCCACAAAATTGATGTCAATGGTGAAAATGCTATTCCGTTGTACAAGTTTCTGAAACAGTCAATATCGTCTTGGTTTTCAAGGTAAGCCCTCAATACTGGTTTAAAATTCGATGTCAGTGCGAAAATTTAAATACCCTTTTTACGGCACTTTTTGATATGGTTGCCGTTTCGTGAACACTTGAAATCGTATTAAACGAGAAAATGGGGTTGGGGAATTAGTTCAAATAACCTCGAGCGCGAATATCCAAAAGTTGTCACATGGACTCAGCCACAGCGTCATATTAACCTAAAGTGTCAAGTCACTTATTGTTATTAGGCGACTTGGATCGCATTATTTTGGAACAGTATCTCAAGAGCGCAGTAAAATGTACCATATAACGAAATCGCTTTATTGAATGCTTTTGAAAACTGGATATGGAGGATCCACCTAGGGGAGTTGGAAAACCCTGATTCCAAACCAATGGTGCACATGGGCTCTAGGATTCTGAAGGAACAAATGGTGTTTGAACCTATTGTTGGTCACCGGTTACCATGGGATTGGATCTAACGTTTATCTGCTGTCGTATGGATTAGACCTCTGGGTCAAAGGCTAGGAGTGCCCCCCCCCTAAAAAGCCATCTTCGGTTTGGGTGCCCGGGCAGTGTTCTATCTTTAACACAAATCATTCGATTTATGTGGCGTATATGTATTTGGTGCCACCTTGTACCAATGTTTATATGTTTAAATAAGTAAATTTGTGGATAGTTTTGGGTTTGTGTGAATCTGAAGTTTATTTATTTATTTAAACCAATATGTATTCCTATCAACCTCAGATGTAAGAATGAATAATAATCATTCGACCTCAGAAAACTAAGTAAGTGATACATGATAAATCAAATACTAGAAAACGAAGGACAGAAATGACTGAGTCGTTAAGTATAACATCAGTGCACACTCCTATAAGTAGTGGCTTATTAAGATTTCTCCACAACTGTCTAGCAGATTATTCTCTTGACCCATAAAGCTTCGTGAATAATCTGTCCAACTCAGAAATTAAATGCTTTCATAATGGTTCTGTTTCACGAGAACACTGACTAAGCACAGAATGTTGCTTCATGACTGATCTGAGTGAACTCGTAACCTAACAATATATGATGAAGTAGTTTGGATGATTCGATCACCTTACATCTCTCCGAAGTCTCATCAGTGATACCCACTGGTATTTTACGGAATATCGACACCGATTCAAACAGCTCTCTTGACTTTTTAAAATTTGCTTCATATATGACGTGAGTGAGATAGATGTCCTTGTGCCAAACAAAGAACAATGTATTACATGACATTTCGATCTGTTATACTTTTATGACTGTGAAATGTTCTCCATGGGCTTATTGGGTTTTCACGGGTTACTAGTGTTTGATTATGGTTGTCTTCATAGCAGTGATGTTGTATGTAGGGCCATTGAGTGTGCAATGTTGAAGTCAGATTTGTGGTATTAGGTGGAAATGGTGCGTCGACTAATGAGGTGGTTAGGACATGTGTTACTTATGCCAGAGCATTGCCTACCTCAACGAGTTATGTTTTCTGTTGCAGGAAGAGGTTAGACAGAATCTAGGAGCAGCCAAACGAAGACATGGTACTTGTCTGCAAATTCATTAACAATTGAGCTGAGTTATATTAATATGCGTAAACTATCTGACTGAGTTAAGCATGCTTATCTTAACCAATGGCTGGAGGATTCAAATGACATTCAAAACTGTTTTGGATGATACTTGTGTATTCACTCTTTGTTTTTTCTTAGTATTTAAGTCCCGAAATCTCCACATAGCATTTTTCGGCGTCCTGTAGCGTGTCTCTTTTTGATTACTACTGATATTATAGGCTTTTCTATTGCTGCGGGATTTATCTTGAAAGTTTTATCTTGTGTTAATGTGGTATCACAACTTAAGCCGATGTTCCGGGCTCTACGGTGCATTGACTTACTGAACAATATTTGTAATTGACTAATAAAGCTATATTTATTTTTTATATTTTAAACTATTAAGGTTTATAAAGCTTGATTAAAATATATGGTTGATGTTCGCAGACCTGTATTAAATGCATGTATCATATAAGATGTGTATTTTTGCCATAGAATTCTGACTTTACTTTCTTGTCATTCTACTCTAATAAACTTGTGTTGTAGGTGCATTAATATTTGACCTAAATGTTTAGTGTGTCTGGTGTTCCCTGTTTTTCTTTTCGATTAAAATGTATATAACTTCTTTATATCTTACAGAGAAATTGAATGGAATTTCGTGAAATTTCTAGTTGACAGAAATGGTACTCCTGTATCTCGTTACAGTTCGATAACTCCACCTAACGTAAGTTTTATTGATGTCATAGAACCAGCCATTTTAGACTTTGACCATTTGTTGCGAAATTAACAGACTATATATTATTTTTTATAAAGAAACATTTCTTAACATAAATGTATTTCGTGTATATTTTACCATTAGGTTATATTATTGTATATGTAAGTAGTTTAACAAACAAAAGTAAGTGCATAAATACTTCACTGTTTGTCAAATGTACCTCGCGGTCAGATCTCAGATCAGACATGATTAACCATTTAGTTCGTATCAAAATGACCAAGTTAAATACTGTGCAAACTAAGTACTATTTGATTACAAGTACTGTGGTATTACCATTTTATTTGAATGATTGTTTAGAAAGTCGCAAATTGTCGAGATGATTAAAATCAAATATTCACTTTACAGTATTTAGAAACTGTACCTATTTCCCTGCATATTCGTAAACGCAAAATTAAATCACTTTTGTCTAAGTTTCGTGGTTCCAATAGGGTTTCAATAAGGTACTACTTTCTCCGATTCGCTAGTCTTCCTTACACTAGTCTCCACTGTTTTGATTTACTTACCAACATTGCTAACAGCATTTATACACATACATAAAAATTTCTCAGTAGCATAAAATCAAAAATTGTTCTAAGATAAATGTTTCAGAGAATATTTACACGAACGGTCCTGATAGGATTGAATATTTTCGTCAACTTTTCGGCAATATTATTTGTGGGGGTGACCAATACATGGATGGATGTCAATGAACGTAAATGGATTTCAGTTTTGTAGATTTTAGCTAATCGATATAATAATCAATGGGAATACGTAGAACCCGTAAGTTATAATGGAATAAATTCTCCCTTATTAGTGACGTTCATTTTAAGCTATTTCAAAAGATTTAAGTTTACTCTTCCTTCTCATTGATCTATTCCATCAGAGTTCACATCAGTCATAGATTTACTATTATCGGTGGCAATAAAAAGCATTTTATTTTTGTAATCAAATCGCATCTAATACCTTGTCAAACTTAAGTGAGATAATATCGGAGTTAGTACGTGATTCTTTTAATGATACAAAACTTTATTTAATTATATTTTTTATCATAGTTTGACAAATCAAATTGTTTTTCTCATTATGCGCTCTAAAGTGACTACATCAGTGAAAGTGAACAACATAGTCAATAAATATCATTTAGATGTATAAATGTTAATTTACATTTGTCTTGAGAAGATTTAAGTAATTAAGTGAGAACAATTCTTAGAACAGGTTATGTCTAGTACTCAAATACTTGGCACTATATTTTTAAATATTTCCTAGTTCCTCAGAAATCCTCTAAAATTAGACCCTTAACAGAAGACGAAACGCAATATGTATAGAAAGAAGCTTTGTTTCCAAGGTTACTGTAAGCACAAAAAAACAAGGTTATTTTTAGGTTAACGTGTGGCCTTCGTACTCTAAAGGCCTCTAGAGACGTTTTAAATTCAATAATCAAATATAAAATCATTTAATCAGAATATTATGTAATCTATTAATTTTTCTAGGAAATTCTAAAAAGTTTCTATCAAACTCTAATTAGATGCAGCGTTCTCAGACTTTTTCTAATTTCTGAAGACTTTCCCAATGAATTCTTTTTTTCTTAAACTAAATTTGTTAACTTTTATTGTATTGCTTTTAGCATTTGTTCCAAGTTAATTGATTCCATTCTATTTTCTTTATACAGAGTATGGAAGCTGAAATTCGAAAGTTACTTGGCCTTTCTAATGAATTATAAAAATCATTATTTAATTACCTGCTTGTTTGTTTGCTTTCATTTTGTTTTTAATTATCTTTCATTTTAAAGTTATATAATGATCAGTGATATACACCGAAATGATAATTTAGTGATCAAACAATGATGAATATGTTTGCAAATCTTATTTAAGATTAAACATATTCTGATGTATTCATTAAGACTCTGGTATATGGTCTTGATGAGATCCTGAATTATTTTTACGTGTGTATAAAACTGCTTCTTCTATCTTTTATTTATATTTATAGATGCTTATCAATAAAAATTTCAAATAAATTGTACTTCAAACCTTTTTTTTAAATATAAGAGTGGGTTGAAAAGTCGACTATTCTGTAACTGTTTTGCATGTTCCCTATTAGACACGAAAATTAAAGTTATTCAAAAGTCTGTATTACATTAAGTTAATGTAAAAGTATCTGTGTATATTATCTCTTTTTTCTTCATTGTATCCATTGTCTAACTTTGTACATATTTTATTAAGCTTACTTAGAAATATACTCATTTAGTGATCTGAATAATGGGAGTAAACAAAATTTCATGAATGATATCCAATTAACCTAGAATGTTTAGAATACTAGATTATTTAACCCTGTTCTATTATGATTTGATTTAGAAGTTCATTTTCTTCCGTTTCTATTTCTACTAATCATATTTAACAGCTATGATTAATGTCCAGCGATATTTTATGAGATAAGTAACCTTAATAATCAGACCTTAATTTTATAATTTTCTCAATGATCCATAAAATATATATCTATTTCAAACTTTAACCATGTGTATAGGTATGTAGTTTTACTGATAATTTTTCTGGTAAGTTACTCCGCCTCTCAACATCCATTCACTGAATACTTTCTATGTCAATAATCTGGATTTTCATACAGTAACATTCGGCCGCAATCAATACAACACATACAGTGTTTTGTCCGTCATAATATGTTCGATTCTAGGGCACGTAATAAGTTGCGTCAACTTTTGTCTAAAACGATTAATGAATGGTTATTCATGAAATTTCTCATATTGAGCTGTGAACCGTCTAGTCACTTATTGATTACTCGTCATCCGAATTAACCAGTGTTATTTGAAAAGAGTACCATAAACTTGAAATCCATGTGGATAATCAAGAAACAATTTTTTTTATTTAAAAGATCTAAGTTTTTCTGAAAATTTAAATAAGAATGTAACATATATTAAGTTAGAATTAAAAGTTGATTATTTTCTAGGTTGAAGTGAAAAGGTTTGTATTACTTCACCGTAAGGATCAGTTACAAATGGTATCATGAACACGCAAATTCAAGCCATACAATGTTTCTCGTTCAACTGAAGTGAAAGTAAACTTGCTTTAGAGCATTTTAAAATGATCCGGAAAAGCAATAGCATAATTTCAGTAACCAAGTTTAGGAATGTCAGTATCAGTGCTCAGCACTTAACATCTTTCAAAACAGCTTAGCTAGAGGTATTCAACGAGTGTAATGCTGCACAAAATTCAGTCCTACTTACTGTCAGCATATCATTACACAGGAACATCAACCCAATATATTATTTGAAGGCTCAGCGCTGACTTTTTAACAGAAGAATGAAGACAAAGTATCTTAGTCGAGTTCCACAACTTAAAGTGTATATGAATGTAGTATTCATGCAATTTGTAACTGTTTCATTATTAATTAATTTACATGTATTTTGTTAGAACTTACGGAGTCGTAGACTAAAATAGTTATTCGTAGCAAACAGAACTAGTGATTTCACATCAGTGACTGACTTTATTTAAACAACCACTGGGAATCAGAAAGCATTAGATATTTACTTCGTCATAGTACAGGACTCCTCAGCATCAATGTATATCCATAACCATACATGAGATTAAACCAAAAGCCTTCAGACTTTGCCATGTGCGCTTAAATCTTGTTGGGGAGACCCAATATGCGATCATAAGCTTTAACTATATCTATTTTTTAAAGGTCACTCACCTCTGACGAGTAACTAAAATAATTCGAGGTACAGAATAAGACGTCAGTTATGTTTGGTTGTTTAGTATTTATGTTGCCTGGCATATAAGACGTAGAGTTAAACTCACGTTGAAAAATAGGGGGTTTTATGACTTCAAATAACCCCTATTCAATCGTCTCAATCAAACTAACCTCAATGAGTATTGTAGGAGGGCTGAGGAAATATTATTTTCTTACGATACAAACATTTGTATTCGGAAAGGTATAGCATGGCAATCACTAATTTTCTTCACATTGTTTATTCCAGTTTTAAAGAGAGGTATGTGTAATTACTGTCTTACAATATTTGCAATGATTACTATTAGGTTCACCGGAACATTGCATCTGTAGTAGACGAAAGTGGTGTATACTACTTATGTCGACGGACACAAGTAGTATGTAACACCAATCGGAAGTGGAAAGCCTGACAGCAGAAGGCTAAGAAGATCGTCAGTCAGTCAGCTGTAACGTAGGACCAGGCACATATATGCATCGATTCACGTTGCCATACCGCATTAGCACAGCAAGATGAACACCGGATTCATAGAAGTAGTTAATTCAGTGGTGATAATATATACAAGAAAGAGTGCGTATAATGACGTAGTACGGGAAGAAACAATTAGTTCGTAGAAAGAAAGATATGAATCGATTTTAATCTCATAGTTTAAAGAAAAACAGAGAGTGTATACACCGACGCCATTGTGATGGATTCTGAGCCATGTCACCAAGATTCTCCAACCATTGGTTACGATAGTCACACGGACCACAACCAAGTAGTCTGCATCTACCAACATGGCTCAGACTAAAAGTTAGTGACTTCAAGCACTGATGCCAGGTTTTGGTTTGGCCGCCCCTAACTTTCTTCCAACCATCCCCAACACCGGTTAGCATTGCACGTCGTGGTAATCGGTGTTCGGGAATACGTAACACGTGGCCCAACCGTCTCAGTCGATGAAGATTCACAACCTCATCAACTGATTTACCATCATTCCCTAATACCCTGCGCTTAATCTCACTATTACTTACCCGGTGATCCCAGCAGATGCGAGCAATATTTTCAAAGCATCTGTGGTCAAATAATAGTAGCTTACGAGTATCGTCTACTCTTAATGGCCACGTTTCGCTGCCGTAAATTAAAACAGAACGGACTGCTGCGCAGTATACTCGTCCTTTTATTGATAGACGGATATCTCGCCTTCGCCATAGGGAATTGTACACTGAAATAATCATAGAGAATATGAAAGACAAATAGTGGAGATTTACGAATGAAGTCTTCAATGAATAGTTCTCATACTTTACCAATATATTCTGTAATTTTGTATTAAACAATAAAATTTTGTCCACATCTCGTTCACATCATGTGGACCTATTGTAGATTTTCGGTGTACAGATATATCTAGATGTGAAAATAAATAAATTCTCAGTTAATAGTTATTAGTTTAAATCACAAACTTATATTCAAGATTAATCCTATACAACACTTAAAATCAGATGAATACAAAACTGACCTGTTTGATATAGTCGGAGGGATAACTAGTTAGTTTGTAAACAATCAATGATGCACGATATTTATGTAAGTGAATATACAAAACTTAGAACAATTTTATTTAAACTAACATCATACTATTAATATCTGTACTTAAATATTTGTTTATTTGACATAACATGAACGAAACCACTAAGTATACAATAATCAACTCAACAAATTTAAGATACTAACATTTATAAGTGGAGAATATTGTTTACAATTAAATCTTAATCCGGCTTTATTCTAATATACAGTAATCTTTATATTCATATACATAATTATTAAACCAATCAAGGCAGTTTATGAATCAATGATAACAGTGGAATCAATTACATAAATAAACAAAATCATGTAAAAAAAAATACAAATTGATAGTGTAATAATAACTGTACTAGTTATAATAAGAATAATGTAGCGTGACGTCGAGATGCGGTTGACTACGATCATCACTACAGGAAGGCTACGTGCCAGTTAACCAGATAAGATCCCCCGTAAGCCAAATATCAGAAGACAGTTGGTGTTTGTAGTCGAGATGTATGTGTTGGCCATCTCGTGGTATCGACAGAATACTGAAGTCATGCCAGGTTACAAGTGTGATTACTGAGAGTAACCGAACACGTACAAGGTCACAATCAAAGGAAGGAAGAATAGAAGAATAATGGATGTCTTTAGTACAGTTAAACAAAAAAAGTACAGTAAAACAATCACTGGTACAATTGGTTATAATAATCATTGTTTCCATTAAACCAATCGCGTTCTCTTGATAAAAGAAGGTCACTACAATAACATAGGCTTGAATCCATGTCTTATAATAGGAAATAGGTCAATGACCTAAAAAAAAATTATAGATGATGAAGTAACATTCATAAAAA